ATATATATATATATATATATATATATATATATATATATATATATATATATATATATATATATATATATATATTATATATATATATATATATATATATATATATATTAACAGTTTGCTGAAAAACACGACCAACCTATCAATACTAACGGCTATAATTGTCATTTGTGGATCTCGCCTCTTGTTATCAGCCGCATTAACCAGAATTTCATCAAAAATTTTCAATAAGCCAGGCACAATTCGTGCTTCTTTTCTTAATATTCGCTTCATCATAGCATCGTAAACATAAATCGACTAAAGACAAATGAATAATATATGAACTGCAAAGAAATCTTAACAAATTTCTTAAAAAATCTAACATTCAAAAACTCTTTCCAATAAACCTCCATCGAATTACCTGTAATAAATGCAAAATAAGAAATACAAACTTGCTCGTCAGATAAAAAAGCAGGACCAATATAACTATCTGGTCGATAAAGTATATGTTTCAGAGGAGTCAATCTTTGATACGTCTTTACTGCCATCTTCGCAATAGTAGTCTGCTCTTCTGGTTCATGTGGAACTGAAAGTCTTTGAATACTAAGCCGGCAAAGTAACTGAATTATCACATTTTAATGATGGATATCTATTTGTTGTATACTGGTAGTATCTACAAAATGGAATAATTCCGATACTTTTAACATAAAGTATTGCTTTTATCAAGACTGATCCTCATCACTCGTACAAATTCCTATAAGATCCACAGATCACGGCGACCTAGTTCCTTTCCCTTCCACACACCAACACCTCCATAGAGAATAAAAAGTACTAACCGCTGTTACTATTAACACAACGTTGGCACCGCAAAAGCGGTTGTTGATAGTGTTCAGATAAATGTATCCTTAGATGCAAATTTTTCTTCGAAATAACGAATGGTCGTTTGAGACTCTCCCTGAACAGTACTTTCTGAATATACTCCATTCAGAATACTTCATCCACTCACCTTATAGTCCAATCTGAAATCGACAAAATCTCACAAAACAAACATCATAACCACCCTACCAACACCTTCACAAACAATCCGAACATGCTATGATATCGTCCAACTGTGAAATGAGAATGCTGTTTAACAAACCGATACACAACAGGACTTACGGAATATTATCATCGTCACAGAAAGAAACATGGATGAATACACCGAAGGACAGATAGGCTAGTGGGTGCATTTACGCGCAGATTTGCAAATAGGCAAATGAGCGTAGAGCAGGATTTTAATTAGTGGCTTTGAACTAAGTCTAAAACATTCAGTACGAAGTAGTACGTTTGCTGAACTTGATATGGGTCAGGTTTCAGTACATCGAAATAAGATTATCCGGTCTTACTTGAAAGAATATTTATTCAAATATTACTTATTAGGGATATAACATCACAGAGTGAAAAAAATGAAACCCACAAAATATTCGACATAATGTACATAATCACAAATTAATGATGAAACAGTTTCAACTGGGATATGGGCGACTAGCACTTAATTTGATTACCCACCGAAAATCAGTTGCGTTGAGAGCTAAAATTTATTCTAAAACCCGACCTCCAAATTAATCCAGCAAAAACAGATATGAATATTTGTAGAAGCAACAACATAATTCGAAAGATAATATTGCTGAACATAAGAAAACTTACAACAAATTTATAAATTAAGAAACGCATTTTGGCAGAGACATATCACAATATGGACTAAACTCTACGTATCACAATTTAAATGCAATATACAAGCAAAGAATTAGTAAGAGAGTCCTTGTAACCATATTTTTCATCTGGTATGCAAGTGAGGTTGCCTGCTTGCAACTCACGTATTTTCGGGTGAATCTGGCTTATGCAGAATTTTAACAAAGTGATATGTGACCATATAATTACTGATATAGTTTCCACATCAAATGGCATCGGATATTTCACCATAATTTGTTATTTCTTTTCATATTCTTGTCCGATTACTGAGAAATCTTTTTCTTTTTTGATCCTATTACACAACAAACAGGTTCAGCTGATTGAGCGATAACATTGAGCAGTTCTTCGAATAAGCTCCTCCCAGTTTAGTTGACACGATATGCAACATTTCAATCAGTTGCAAAGAGGACGGGAAATAAATGATAAAGTAATGTTTGACATACCTAATTTGTCCCCGCATAAATTAATTCACTTAGCACAATACTATGCATTTGATTTTAATACGAGGTATTTCCACTTGGTAAAGGTGAAACAACCTGAAAGCATGAATTCCAAATTTTAGGGATCCAAATCCTCAGAACCCTAACCATATTAGTTTTCAGGATTTTTCGAGAATTAACTATGAAGTGTGCGAAAACTTTCGCTCAGTGTGAATAATTTCGTCTTTAGATGACTAAAACTAACAACATAATCCATATTAAGTGACTATCCATAAAGTTGGACGCCTAAGAATTGAAACCCCCATCATATAGTGGGTTCATAGGCTCAATCATTGGGCCTGTAAAGGCAGTATCCTGAATTTCTTTTCAAGGAGATTTCGCTGACAACAAAGACAGTCTGGCAATTCTTTATGCATTTCTTAAGAGAATCAAAATTAGTTCTATTTCAGCAATAACCCCATGTATTTATGTTTTCACCAAGTGAACTGAACTGAAAAACCAATATTGAATCAGGTACATCGGAATCAAAACAAAAACCCGTAGAAAATTCTACGCCGCCCTTCATTCATTCAGTAATGTATAAGACAACTACTTGGAGGAAAATATGCATCAATCATGAACGGCTGATGCTGCTTGTTGCGCTGCTTCTCAGCGGCGGCCGAGGTGACTGAAAACAACTCAGTAATTTTTGAAACTTTTTACAGAGCAGGTAGAAGTACAAAGTTCCAAAAAGTGTGATACAGAATGAATCAAATTCAACGAGACGTAGATGAATTAAGCTTAATGTGCTTCTCATATATCAAATATTAATTGAAATCGTAAGAATATGACCATACAAAACCTCGAAGATCGCTGTAAAGTGAAAGTTATTACTAACTAGAAAGTGGAAAAAAGAAATCTAATCCAGTGCTAACATAAACCATTAAGCAGAATCTACTATCAGTGGATTTTGCATATAATTGATAGTATCAATAACAACTTATGTTGGCAATGTTCGCTATTTTGCTAACATGTAAGCAAATCCTAACAAAAACATTTCAGGAAAGATTACCATACAATGGTTGTTTGGCAGTTCACTGTGCTGTTGCCTTGTTACCGAACATTTTTGGCTTGTTTTCGCGATTGACCATCGCGCAGACACTTTACGTTGCTGAGTTCCGCTACTTGCACTTGATGCGCCCGATGTCTGAACAAAGCTTATAATTAAAACAAATACCATAACCGATACACAGTTCTTTCAAAAATCAACAACATTCACAAAATCCGGTGTTTACTAGTCAAAAGACACGTTATACGAATATTGCTATAATATTAAAACACTACTATTAACTAGTTTAAACTTCCAAAGATTATTTTCCTCAATTCTAAAAAAAATAGGCAATTTCTATGAAACCAACCATTCTAAAAAAAATAGGCAATTCTATGAAACCAACCGGTATTTTCAATCTTACGTGCTTTATCACATGATATGACCAAAAAATTTGTTAACAAAATATACCTGATGCTGACCAATACTTGGTGTCCGGTTCAGTTCACCTTTGATAAAACGTTCCACTTTATCCATACAAGCTTCTTGATAATCATGTACCCAACGTACACCATTGTAACGCGTTATGTGTCGTATATCAGCTGGCAAATCAGTATCGGCGGGGAAATCAAAATGCTGATCAAAAATCGGTATAACATTTTTATGATGATCAAAAGCGCATCGTAGCTGGAACACAAATCATTAGCTACGATCTGCTCGCAAAATCTCAACCATGCAATTCCATTTTCCCAATAATTGTAGTCCCTAATCTCTTCAAAACTATTGCTTAAATTTTAGAATTATTAGTTGAAATTTTAGAAATTTTAGAATTATTAACTGAAGAAAAATTTAAAAGCTCAGAACATTTTACTGAAGAAACAAAAACCAATTACGAACGTTACAAAAGAAATATGTGAATTAAAACAAAACTAAATGAATATTTCTGCATAATTCTAATTCTTCTTCCTATCCTCAGTCACTACATAAAACCTCCAATAACCTCTTTATGTATCCAGTCTTCACAGTTATGATCATTGAATAACCTATCCAAGGAATTTGGTGTTAACACAAGAATGAAGTGCTTCGCCGCCTGGATATTTTTCAACAATGATGAATCAAATTTACCAGCATACAGTTTATCAACATCAATGAATACCTGCAACCGTGAGTGTATAAGAATCATAATATATCACGACAACAGAGATGAAAGGATATAATAAAATATAATAAAGCACTATTTAAAGAAATAAAAAATCTCACTCGAAATTTAAAAAAGAAAATCATCATCGTCGATAAAAACCAAAACGATATCCAATAAAAACATAGATAAAGAATTGGATAAGTCGTGTATTTTGTAGATATGTAAAAACCATGCATTTTGTAGGTGTGTGTAAAAATTATTTTTGTCAACTACAGCTTGAGAAAAAGAGTGCATATTTCGGCAAACTGTGATATGTTTTCGATAGCACAGGAAAACATATTTAATAGATGGAATTCTTGATGAAGAGAATTCGCGCACAAGTTACATACAAAAAAAAAAAAAAACGAAAACAAATATTAACCTTATATCCTCTAAGCTGAAGTAAAACTTTGATAAGGCTCGCCAGTTGATTACCCGTACTACGTCGATAACTTATGAATACATCAATTTGCTTACTCAGTATCGCAACTTCAATGTCATCGATATGTTTGCTGTCTACAATTCTTACAATCCATGAAGTAATGCGTCGTAAACTTTATCATGATTTTATTAAAAAGAATTTGCAATAAAATTTCAATTTGGTATAATCATTCGATTGTACCAAATTGAGAGAGAGAGATATTTTAAATCTTACCTTGCAATGCTTGCCGTAGTTTGAGCCTATGGATAGGATTATGCATGCCGCACACAGTTTTCATCATCTCGTCAGTTAAAGAGGGCAGCAAACTACGATTTAGTCCCATACCAAGCATCTGATATGTATAAACTGATAATTCAGGACTTAACGACATCAAGAACTGATCTAACTGACTTTCGTCCACACTTCCGTAGTCAGCTGCGATCTGAAAGTACCACAAATTTATGAAACACGTACCGATTAATGATCAAATCTTCATCGAATTAGGAATTTAATCATTTCATTTCTGACCAACAGACTGACATTTAATCCAGTTACTAATATAAGCAAAATTATTCAGCAGATAGATTTATCTATGAATTAAAATCTTATCTATGAATTAAAAATTTATCTATGAAATAAAACCTATGAATTAAAACCACATTTCCGAAAGAAAAACTTGCTTTAAGGCTTTCCAGTTCACGGATGAAACGTTTTCTAAGAAGGGCTGAAGACATCTGAAGATCTTGTTCAAGTTCTTTTTCAGTTAGTAACAACAGCAAATCACCATCGACCATATGCTTCGCAAATGCATCTGCATAGGATTCAAAGCCAATCTGCATAAATTTACGTATATGTTAATATGATAAGGATTTTTGGCTTGGTAATTGACTAGAAATTTAAGAATACAAATTTCCAATCATTGCTGTATGAACAAAGTCCTCCTTATAAAGAAACATTTCATGTTCGATCTCAGAATTTTCTTTTCCAGAAGTGTTTACTTTAAGTAAGAAAAGGGACATCAGAAAAACAAAAAACATGGGAGCTTTAAACTAAATACCCAACTTTTTGTTTGTTAGAGCGAAAATAAATGCTATAAAACAAAGATTCCTTAGAAGTGACACTGCACTTCTCTTCCAATACTTATGCATTCTATCGAGTCAAAAGTATTTTAGATGAATATTTCGTTTCAAAACTTAGGATTTCGAATTTTCATACGAAGCTATTCTCATACTTTCCTCATCCAAAGAAAGGTAAAATCCTTTGCATCAAAAGAAAAAAAGGACAAAGATAGCTACTGATATACTATTTGAAAAGGAAGTTAGCGATAACAAGAAACAGATATTATAAAGAAGTAGTATAAAATGAACCAACAGAACATCGGGAGTCCAATACCGTCAAACCAACCTTTTTCACCCAGTACTGCACATCGGCAATTGTCCAGCATGGCACTTGTTGAGTAAGTTTGTAGGGTACTTCTTCACCTATCACAGTTAAAGCTTCGCTTGCGAACTTCGCAGCCACTTCGTCTGGACTTGATGCAATTTCTTTCAGTGCCACTATTGCTCCTATTTCCTGCAATTTATTGAGATATATTCCTTTTAAATCTGCTTCTATCCAATTTCACTTAATCGCAAACAATTCAACTTTAAGTTTTCAATTTAAATATATACATTATTTTTCTCATCCCTTTTACAAAAATAATAAGCAGAACTGAAGTTTTTCATTCTTATTATATTCATAAATATATTTTCATAGATACTCCAACGGCATGTAGAAATATATGCATTTCACATGCAACAAATATGAATTTAAATTTGAAAAGCTTGAATATCTCACAATACCTCAACAAATTCATCACCACATGACCTTGCAAAACATCATTATGTGCAAGAACGTCTTAGCTGCATAATTTTGTAGAATAGCCTCATTTTGAGGAACTGTACAGCAACAAGTTTAAGCCAAATTAACTGCAGCTTGTAAAGCAGAATACGAAAATCAAGAATTTAAGACAAACAAAAAGGAGACTATAAGCAGCAACTCTGCAATTCAAATCCAAAGAGTAGGCTGGAGTCGTGAAGATACAAAGTAACTGAAAAAGATAAGACTATCCATAAGAACATCTCACAGATCACAACTACTGCCAGCCAGGAAAAAACGATGGAAAATTAGATCTGTTAAGCTGCAATAAGATGCTGATAGTAAATGGATGCGTGGAGTGTCTATGCATTTATGTTGCATTTCTACATAACAAACAAGTCTCCCAAAAAAACCATACACCATTTAACATTGACACTATTTTCCGCATCGTCACTGCAATGCACTGACACAATCACTGAAAAAAGGACGCGGGATTTCTTAGCATTTAAAATCATAAAAAAAAAGTATTTTTGCCAAAGTAGCGAGGAAAATTTGTTAAGCAAAATTTAAATCAAATAGAACAGTGACTTGATGCACTGTTTAAATCGAAATTCCAAGGTTTTTTGACTTTAATAGTCTATTTGAAAAATTAAGAATTCAAAGTGCACCCTACCTCTCTTTATCTAAGAAAATCCATGAAAGTTTTCCGAATTCAACAGCTAATCTAAAAGCTTCTGAAAATTAACTAAGGCAGAGAGAAAAATACAATTCAAGAAGAGAAAAGAATTACTTAAACACTAAAATCTGGCTAGCTTTACTGTCTTCTGGTGAAGACACTCTTAAAAATTTATGATTTTGTGGCAAAGATCTCCGGAAATCCAAGGCTTCTAATTAATCCAACAAAGAATTCCGCCTCCTAATGCCCTTCACATAAGACCATATATATCGAAGCGAGAACTCAATCTAAGCAGCTTTTCCTTTTTAACAATTTATTCCAACGATGTAATTATGCAATTCTAGAAAAATATACATCTAATTTCACATCCAACATAGACACCTTTCATGAACTAATTCTCACAAAAACGAACATTCGAGATATGGATGCTGGAATTAAGGTTTATGTGGTAATTGTGATAAAAAGTTACACCATATTTGTATCGATTCACTCTTATCTCTTAATAAGGCTACTGTTGGCAACATACAATGCAGCAAATATTTTTTTCTTTTTAAAATAAATCAACAAGAATTTTTCCCTTCAAAAAACCCTTCTTTTGCAGAGAAGAGGAATTCTTTCAAAATCCCTAGAACGATTTCGAAGAGTACCAGATTACGTTCTATTTTTTCGGTTCACTGCCAAAGATTTCCTTCAGCCTTCAAAGAAAAAAGCTGTGGGAAAATCGCGACAATTTTTCGGGCGAGTAACAAAGCGTCATTTCACGACTTCTTTGCTGAACTTATTTTGAAAACTGAACAACCTACTTGAAAAACTTCAAGTTTTTGCTGATCTTTCTTTATTGTTGCTTCCATTGTAAAGTGAAATGCAGCAATACTACGTGCTTCGCGACATTTCGACTTGAGCATTGGCAACAACCTGAAGTAGAAATCCTTCGATCAACTGTGCCACACACAGTAAAAAAAATAACGATTCTAAAATTCTGGATAATAAATGTAAAAAACAATTTCTAAGCTGTATGACCTTGACGGAGGCTTAATTAATAATATGCTTAGTAGTGATATTTCTGTCATCCTTCCATCCCCTTTCTTTTTCTTGTACAAATTAATATTAGTATACAGCGCCTCTCAGCATATGTTTTATTAAGATCCAAGTTATTTGAAATATGCAAATTCATCATTTCATTATAACTAAACGAGGTTATGAAGTTTTAAATCTTGAAACCAGGATTTCGGTTCCCAGAATAGCAGTCAAAAGATCAGTTTTACTGGATGAATACAGTAAAAAGATTAGTTTATTAATTTACAGATTAAGCGGAAAATATGAATATTAGCGGGTCAGATATGGCAACAATTAAAAATCCAACAGCAATTACAACAAACTATTACAATATGATTCATAATATGATTATTATTCTTCGAATCAATAAATGAAATATCAGTTCATTGACTGAAGTGACTAATTTCCTTTTTTTTCATCGATTGAATTGATATTCCATCTGTTGATTTAAGTTATAAGAATATTTCGATTATAAGAATATCGTTGGTAATTACAATGAGTTCACATAAGCAATTGTCTAAGTGAGACTGCATAGGTATAGAGACTGGTAACGAATGAATCAAAGTTGGAAAGGCACAAAATTTATAAAGAAAATAGTACTCGCAGAAACCGCTCGTAATATTAACAAAGCTAATTTATCGTCACCAACATTTTTTAGCAACAGAACACTACTCGTGCTTCGGAAGATGTCCTGAATTTACGTTCTTATTCTTCGAAACCCAACAGTGATGACGCTACATATTCTCCTGACCCCGATTGCCACAGATCTTAGGTAATGAGAAGTAATAGTAACCTTTCAAGCCATTCCTTTGGTCGTCCTTGTGAATGCTTGTAATGATCACCAGCAAAAGTAATTGCTTGATGAGCAAGTAGGAATGGTTCTACCAAAGCTAAAGTACCCGATTTATTCACTGCTGCTTCCATTTCTTTCGTACTTCCAAGCATACAAATTGCTAGGCATGCGTAGTAACGTGTTATATCGTCTGGTTGTGATGCTAGCAAGAACAGCCAGTCCGGTACCTGTAACTATCACATTTGAATACTTTTATCGCTTCATCCTTGTTCTCAGGTTTCAATCAGTTTCAGTTCTTTTTTTCAAAATTATCAATTGGATACAAAAATCAGCTATTACTGATCACATAAATTAGATAAAAAAACCAACTACTACTGATCACGATTTAATGCAAAAAGAATTCCAGAAAAAGTAAGCTCATTATTTCTCTAACAATAATAAATGGCAAACTTGCTATCTAGATTTTCTCATTTAGATTTTTCACAGACTAATTGAAGAATTAAATTTAAATCTCGTTAAGAAAAATCTAAATCGACATTTTTTTCGAAAGAACAAATAGTGCTGCAGTAAAAACGACACCCTTTAACGTGATTCATACAGTCTGAATGAATCGATTACTGTCTGATGAAGCTTTGGTGCAAACCATTTGTTTGCACCAAAGCTTTTTGTGGATAAACCAATAAATAGTATGAGAGCTGGGTTAAAATTAACAAAAGTACAGGGATGGAGATAGAAGATAAAGCAATAGCTGAATCCTTCCCATATTCCTCATAAACCTAGCTAACAACCGCTTCCCATTAACTTTGTACTGTAAAATACCGCCCTCAAACACCATTTCACAAAATTATGCTCATATGTAACACATAGAGGGAGGAAGATGAAAAACGGAAAGTATTTTTGATTTCAATCTGACAGGTCGAGAAGTGATTCTCCCTCAACCACTGATAAAAATTTGGTCATGAAGTGTAGAGAAGATTAAAGATAACGATTTGTGGCGCATTCAGAAAAATACATCTGAAGTGGCATACTGAAGCAGCCGTTAAGATATGCTGTACTGATGAGCATAACTCCATAAATAACTACTCAATGAAGAAGGAACTAAATTCAGCTACAAATTATCAATTTAAATGAGCATGAAATCTAACACGAACTTTATATATCACAAATGATTAACTTTATATATCACAAATGATTCAGCACAACTCCATAAAATACATAATCCTGTCTTGATAGTTCAAAAAAAATGAACCATTTGGTGATTGTGAAATCAAACATACCTTCTTCTGAATAATTTTTTTCTTTGCTTCCGAACAGCTGTACAACGACAGATTGGCAAGTGCTAGAGCAGCATGCCGTAAGGTTATTGGCGTATCAGTAGCACGTTTACACGTCAGCAGGATGTGATCCAGAACACCATACTCAATTAGCCTGAAAGAGCATACTTCGTGCTGAAAAGCAACCATATATTATTATTAAATCCTTCAAAAAGGAAAGAGAACGAAAATTTTGAAGTAGTTAATAAGAAATTCAAATTCAAAAATTCATTTTTTTACTGTTCTTTTCACTCATACTTACCCACTGTAAACCTACCAATCGGAGTTAATTTCATGTATGGTAGAATATCATAAAGATCTCCACCTCATTATTCCTCTCTTAATTTTTTTTCTCTCTATTCCCCACTTAACATACCTGTAAGTGGTAGCAGTTGAATGCTTGAATAAACTTTCCATGATCGACAGCGACATTCGTTGTTGCTCCGGATTTTTGTTCAGTTTCTCGGCTGTTGCAACCAGCTTTTTCAAATAACCCTTGTTAACCACATATTCTCGATTCTTCAATGAAAGGCATTCCTCTAACACACGACCGCATGCTAATCGAACTGTAAAACAACTACTGCATTCAATCTCAAAAATTAAAATAAGGAACAGTTAAAACGAAAAAAAAATTATTTTATGTAAAATGTAATGTGAAATTCTGCAGAGGAGTTGAAAATGAAGGAGGGAAGAAGAAAGTCCCATGCACTTCTTTTCCCACAAACTTATTCATATAACCACAAAACACTGTTTTTCAAAAGACCTCAAAAGGACGCCAAGGCCAAGCCATTTGCACCACCACAAAAAGGCAAAAAATTAGCATCATTTCAAGAAACTGAAAAATAATTCTATTTGATTCAGAAATTTTATCAAACTTATGAATTCTAAATATTTTCTGCTTGACTTTTCGTGAAACTTTGCTCAAAGACTTCATAAATAAACTCAAATTGAAGAGACAGAGAAGGGCTCTGTCGTGTCCACTGATAAACAATGTACATTTCAAAATTTCATTTTGTACATCATTTCATTTTTGTACATTGTTTAGCTTATCAAAAATTCCTTTTCCTTTTTTACTCATACGGATTACAACAATAACCGTGAACACTCCGTGATTGCTTGTTATAGCTGGCTAAAAAAAAAAAACTTCAGTAATGTCTGGAAATCCAGTAAAATTTCAGGGAATTTCAAAACATACCAGGTTCACAAGTCTGTGCCTTGATAAAATTCATAATCAGCGAATCGAAGTAATTCTGATCACGTAGGAAATCGCAAAGCGCATATGATAAATCGTGCGAAATTTTCGGGAACATCCACGCCTTCGTCATGACCTTTGCTACTATAGTACATCCCTGTAAGAGGTAATTTTTCTTGATATTCATTATCCACAATCTTCTCAATCAAATTTATGACTTAATTTATATGCTCTAAATCAGGATTGCTTAATTTCATCCTACCTACACGTCTTACATCAAGAAAATAAATACATCTTTTAAGAAAAAGTCAGTCAATAGATTCATTCAGCACCAAATGCATTTCTGATTTGAGAATCTATTGGAATATCACAGTTCAGAAAAATAACTTTGAAGTATGTGAACATAATCCAAAATAGACCTTGTCAAGGTCAGTCACTTTGTAGTGCAGTATAGAAAACAAATTACCCGACCATTTATGTCAAAAAGCGCGCTATGAACGAGGCAATGTAGTTAAATCAAATATTCATGTTACAATACGTTGTACGAGATGGATAAGTGATACGGTAAGTACCTCCCCATCATCTACAACATGCAAATACATGTTGTGAATGATAGGCTATTTGATCTATTTATATGTTCACTTGAAATTGGTCCCAAAAGTAGTTTTTTAAAAAATTCCATTGGCTTAAAGTTTGCTGAAATTTTGTGGTTTAACGGATACTACTAAAATTTTATCATTCATGGAAGTATATAGATAGCCTAAACAGAAAAATTATGGATTGCTGGCTAGTTGGTACTGTAATGCATTTGTCCTTTCACAAATTTGTATTGGATGAAGCAATGAACACAGATTCCAATTCCTTAGTTGGAAGATGCAGTTTAGATTAGACCCTTAGCTGTCTTTTCATTTAAAAAAAAAAAAAAAAAGAA